AGCCTCGTCGGAGCCTTTGTCGCCTCGTCATCCTCCTTTTTGAGATCTGAAGCAGGACGAGGAGAAGCGTGACACCAAAACCCTAGAATCGGAGGCGGAGAGCCCCGGATCGGGGAGCCACGTGTCGTCATCCTCCTTCAGTCGGAAGGTCGCTAAGTCGAGATCCGTCGACTGCGGGAGTAAGAGCTTCTCCGACGACTTCTTGGAGCGGATCTCCACCAAATTCGACGACTGCACCCTGTGAAGAGTCGAATCTCACCGCGAATCCAACAGCAAGACGGTGGTTCATCATCGCCAGCAGCTCGATCACGACAACAAGCAGAGAATCAAGGAGAGAGTCAGGTGCAGAGAGTCAGGTGCAGCGGAATCTTCGGCGGTTTCGGGATGATCTCGTCGTCGTCCTCGGCCTATTGGCTCTCAGGTGATGACGGTGGATGTTGGGAAGGCGGTCAATGTTGGTGTCAATCCATCGTTGCTAGCTGCGCATTGAATTGCACTTGGTAATTTGGTTTTATTTATTTTATTTTTATTTTTATTTGTTTTTTTGAAGTTGAATTCTTCTAAAATATGATTGTAGATATTGATTGATTTGGTTGAAGATTGCAGTTGCGTAAGAATTATGCCTTTGATCAATTATATTGTCAATATAAAACTTTTACAATGGTGTTTTCAAACACTTTAGGAGAAAAAACACAACACCAATGTGTTTTTCTAAAAAAACACAACAACAAAAAACACTTTGGAAGCCAAACGCTCCAGCAACGCGTTCGACAAAATTCTTTCACGTCAACTCCCAGTCTTCCAATATGCGGCCCCTTTTTTTTTTCGTATTCGGCGGATGAGGCTATGAAGGAAATAACTAGAGAAAAAGAAGCCAACGTGAAGGAAAATTAAGGACGACGAGGGGACCTTTTATAGGTTCTAATCCTAAATGTAAAACAGCCTCAGCGCTGTAATGATTGACTTTGTCAAACACGGTATAGTTTCCCGACGCCTAAGTTCAACAACATTACAATTAATTCTATAGATGTGAAAAACGCACGTTCTGTCAATTACATTGTTCATCATTTTGTCCGTGATGGACAGATTTCTGTGGACTAGCATTGGAGTATCAGCGATACTGACAGAAACCGATTAAATTTCTGAGGTGAAAGCGGTCAGCCAAAAACGAATGTTGTAGAGCGAGTAGAATTTTTCCCAGAGTTTGTTCTTGGCGCCTACTGGGCCTTTAATTGGTGCAATATTGGAAGCTCCAGACATACAATTGCATCGCAAAAAAAAAGTTGGCTTTTCTCCGAGTCGATCTCAGGCATTAACTTCATAATATCTTGCTTAAGGAAATGTAGGATAGATGGAGATAGCAATTGGACGTTTTGCTTTGCGAATAACATGCTACTGCTCGATTTTGAAGCGTGAAACTTTGCATCGCTTGAGGAGATAGCAATTATAAAATATCATCATAACCCAACAAGAAACTAGAGTCATATCCCCACATCAGTTCATTCGCATCTGCAACCTAAGCAGGCAAAGTGAGATTCCAAGACAACATGGATTCTCTCAAAGAGCTCTCCCAGGAAGAAGAAAAAAAAAAACAAAGGGTGTTCACCGAGCCCAAATTAGTAGACAGCTCAAGGCAATGCAACAGCGACAACACCACACACCTTGATCAGCTGCATACGCTGCACATCAAAACAGCAATCGATTGCTGTTTAGCCGTGCATACTCTTGCATTGATCTCGCTCATTGGATTTTCTACGCCATTCACATATACAATAAGCCCTCTTTATCTTCAGTGAGATGTTAACCTTGATATCTTCTGCTGAAATAAGAACATTTTTTTAGAAATTTGTCCTTGGCAAAGTATTAACACTACTTTCAGATCATAGTTCCGAGCAGGTTTTAATGTGATGAGCTGATGATACAAACAAAATATTACAATTAGTTACCCTTGTTACAGCAATCCTACACTTAATAATCAAAAATTTATAAAAACATTACATTTACAACGGATGAAGAATGAGAAGTGAAACGCAGACTTGCCGGCCACTAACAAAACAAGTGCATAGATAATTCGATGCAGGATTATGGCTTTTGGTGCATTGCAACAGGACCATCAGGCAACTTGTTCTGGCTATCTTGTTCAACCTTTACATTGCTTGGTTCATCAACTGACATAGGACCTACATCTGAGGGCTGCATGTGCAATAACGAAAACAATAGAAGTTAAAACATCTCTCTCATTTATTTCTATGATCATTCTTCATATATAAAGCCTTTCAACAGTCACCTTGAAAGTGAAACAGGAGTCCTCATTCATCGGCTCTGTGCCTTTGACGTGCTCTGGAGTCGCTTTATGAATTTCCTAGACAGTAGAAAAAATAGAAATAGAATCCATTACAATAAACTAACTGGAATGAGCTTTCAATGTCTAAAGGAGAAACAGTATGATGTTTCTGAATAAAAATCCATCAACAATGTCCATTTCACAAGTTAGATGCATTATTAACGGTGAACATGCTCTAAAAGAATGAAATTATCTTTCTATAGTTTCAACAAACTGAACCCAGCCATAAACCTAACAATAAATCCGGGAAATGGAGAATATATGATGATGAAGGAAGCCAAAGTATGATGTCAGGATATTTTCCTGCATGCTTGCTACAACATTTTATGTCCTTAATTTTATTCATAAGTCATAACTTAAAGACACAATTTTACACTTCTCACAACTCACATGCTATTTGATGCTTGTTAATAATTATTTCCATTTATATTATCATATTGGGATGAATTTATTTTTTATTTTTTCCCCTTCATATTCATCTCAAAGTACAAATCAGGGGGAAAAAACACATTACAGGCTAGAACACATGACTCGCGATAATTCTAGTTAATAGGAAGATAAATAAGTTGCCAAAATGATATACATTGCCCATCTCCACCTATAATTCCTCTGCCTTCTGCAGTCAACAGAAGCAAGTTCCAGCAAGATCAGAAGCTATATCACAGAAATTTTTTTCCCTGTAAGCAAAAGTTTCCCCCTTTTATCTACTTACTTTCCAATTTTAGGTAGGCTGCTTCTGTGGTAATGACAGTCACTATTTTCCCATTCTTTTTAAGTTAGAAAACAAACCAACAGTGCCAGATATATGCTGTGAAGCCCCATGGCCACATACTGCACATGCATAATGATGACTAATCATGGTTATTTTTGACACGTAACTACAAAAATAACAACTCGATCTAATACTCTTCAAAACTTTACCCGACTAGCTAATCTTAAATTCAGCTTTACAAATAGAACTATGAAATAAAGATCATAACTAATCTTCAGTTCTAACATCCTCGTCATGTTAACACTTACAATAGGAGATGTGAGATTCTAAATATGACCCTAACAGTGTAGAGGTTCCTCCTACGGAAGTAAGAGGCTAACCCCAGCATATTCCTGTGATATACGATAATTTGCTTCATGCCCCATTCAGTTTGCACTATGCAGCAATTAATTTCGCACACATTCATCCGGCTTTAAGCATTAATACCATTTGTAATGTTTAAGCAGGAACCTGATGCAAGGTCACCCATTTTGAAATTGCTCCCGCCAAGTTAACTATGATTTTTTTTCTATAATTCCTCCCTCAAAGTTTCTAGCTATGGTTAGTTCTACTTCCTGAGCTTATGGGAATTATTATACACCTTTCTGGCTCACATCCATGTTGGATTACTCTCCCAGGACATGACACAGATTCCTAGCAGCAGAGGATGATTACTTGATGGTATACAATTGTACAGAACTTGATATGGCAATCTTATCTAACTATTACATTGTTAGAGTATAAAATTATAACCCCACAACAACTTCGGAGTTTTGGTGTTGTGGCAGGGTGTCTAAGAATCCAAGATGGTATCATAGCTTCTGCAGCAGTCTCAACTTGCTTCTCACCGTTCAATGACAACTTCATCTATTGCAACTTCACATAACAAGTTCAATACCATCTTTAGCTAACACACCAGTTACTTTCATTGCTTTTGCACTTGCTCCACAGATGAATCATTTCTAAGTTTATTTTTCTCTTTTGACAGCTGCTTCAACAGCGAGTTATCCTTTTGGAGTTTTAAGTTCTCAAGCTCAAGGCTGTGTCTAAGAATCCAAGATGGTATCATAGCTTCTGCAGCAGTCTCAACTTGCTTCTCACCGTTCAATGACAACTTCATCTATTGCAACTTCACATAACAAGTTCAATACCATCTTTAGCTAACACACCAGTTACTTTCATTGCTTTTGCACTTGCTCCACAGATGAATCATTTCTAAGTTTATTTTTCTCTTTTGACAGCTGCTTCAACAGCGAGTTATCCTTTTGGAGTTTTAAGTTCTCAAGCTCAAGGCTTGAGAAAGGAATACCAGCAGCCTTCTGTCAGGTTGTTGAACCATTTCCCAAACTTGTTATGTGAAGTTGTAACAGATGAAGTTCAGTTGTCAAATACTGGTGAGAAGCAAACTAAGGTTGCTGTAAAAACTCTGGTACTATCTTAAAGACCATTACACAAACTCCGAAGCTGTAGTATTTTATACTCTAACATACATGGAGTAAGATAACATCTTAAGAGAACATCAACCAACTCATGCACAAACTTCCGTGCAAAAAAACTTGGGTACTATCTTAAAGACCATTACACAAAAACACCAAAGCTGTAATGAGGGTTGAGGGTTATAATTTTATACTAACATACATTCCATGAAATGAGATTTCTGAAGCATGCAATGTGATGGTGAAACCAAGAGCAAGAGAATTTTATAAGTGTTCATGCAGATTGCATCAAAATTATCATATCACTGAGTTGAAAAAAGAGGGTGACCAGAGAATTTAACGTGAGACATAAATGAACAAGTTCATATCTAAGCACTCGGATTACAGATTTAAATTTCACAGGACGACAGATCCATGGACTAACTTTTGGCAACAAAAAAAACTAGGGTGCAACTTGCATAGGTTGCATTGGGTTTATTACAAGGTCTAACCTGAGGAACGTCTTATAGCCTCAACCTAAATCTTAAACCCTACTCACCTGGCCACAGGTGTAGATGAATCCAGAGAATTTAACGTGAGATTGAAACAGATAGGTTTGCGCCCAAGCACTTGGGTTCATAGATTTTACATGCAATATATTCACTGATTAATTTGTTGATGAGCTAGCATGGGGTGCACTGGGTTGAGTAGATGGTCTAACTGAAGCAACATCTTACACACAAAGTTAACCTAACTGACATGGAACACAGGCCTGGTTGAACATAGATTGGTTTAAGAAAATACCAGGTCAGTTCAATGCAGTTATTATTTGAATTGGGCTGGGTCGGGTTAAGTTCAGGATCTAACTCGACCATCTTAAAACCTCAATCTTAACTAACCCATCCTGACCACAGGTCTTTGCACCTAGGCTAATCTGCGTTATAATTGATCGGGTCAATCATATTGAGCTATTATTTACAGGAGTTAATTACTAATGCCAGGTAATTATTGCTTCAAGTTAAACAAACTTTCCTAGTTTGTCTGACATGGCAGCCGCTTGACACCAAGAATAATCTACATCTCAGTTTTATATTCCTTCACACAAAAAACGTGAATAAGAAGCTATATATCATTCAAAGGCCCGCTGAATATTATGACAGTTCATAACTCCAGAAAATGACTTTTCATACAGCAAGAACTATGTGGTATGGTAGGGATAAGGGTATGGGTACTGGTATAGGTACGGGACACCGCAAATTTATAAAAGGTAGGGTATGGGGACACGGCTACATAAATATATTTATACACATATTATGTATTGGATTTAATAATTTATATAAGAAGAAGGATGAGAACTAAAATCCATATAACATTTTTATGTTTCTTTTATTATATGGATTATAAATTGGAAAATCACTAGTTTTTGAACTGTACATCCAAATGACCCTTCAAGATCATAATTCAAAACCTGGCATGTGTCCAATGAGTTTCAAGAAGTGGATGTGAGTGTAGGACATATGTCCAAAAAATGTATGACAAGTGTTTTAAATTAAAACATGTGTTGTATAATTGAGTACATGCCCGGATAAATGTATGGATATATGCAAGGAGTGTCCAAGGAATTTGGGCATAGGTACGTGTTGGGTACGGGTACAGCTTCAAATTAGAAGCACCAGGCAACATAGACCAAGAAGGATGGAAAGCATTGGCATTAAGATTTATTTATGATGAAAAGGAGGTGGAATATTGTACTGCCGATGATCATAATTTTTATAGATAGATCATACATATCTGGTGAAATTTAAACGGAAAAATAGGTTAATAACTTAACTCAGTTATTATCCGTCATTTGATGGTCGAGATTCACCAGATCGCGAAGTAGCATTTAAGAAATCTAAGAAATATGAAACAGATGAAATGCTTTTTGGCATCTCGAAACAACTGAGTATCATGAAAGATATTGTCAGAACCATCTTCATACCCTAATTCAAAAATGTAGGGACATTGGTAAACAATAAAAAAAAAACTGATATTTTACCTCTTTTTCAAGATTTTCCCTCTTTATTCTTACATTCTGAATGCTGTTAGCAGTAGGCCTGCAGCTGTAAGGAAACCTGATCTGTCAGAAACAGGCACATAACTGGTAAAAGAGGGACATAGAAGCAAGAAAAAAAGTACCTCTTAGGATAATCCTCTTCCATATCAGAATCGGAATCATGTCTTTCATCTGGATCCTCTAGATCTTCATCAGGCTGGTAATTAAAGACATAAGTAATTACCTAAGCGTTAACTTGAAATTTTCAACAAGATAAACATTTCTCATTTCTCAGCCTGAAAATAAATAAAAAAATCAATGCATGCTTCTCTTTATGCCAAAAATTAATCCCATAACTAGAAACTAAAGGGTCTCTGCTTGTTTAGGAATTTTTTTAGCAACGCTCAGGATCCCTTTTGCTAAGAAGGCACTTACTGGTATAAGGCACAAGCCTATGTCACTGAAATATATAATTAAAAAGTCATCTGTCAAAGAAATTTACATTAAAAAATAATAATAAATGAATGAACTTTTTTTTAATTTTTGTTAAACTGTCATGTCTGGACTTCTACTTTCAGGTAAGTCTAGTACTTTTACTGCATGCCTTTAATAAAAAAGTGAAGCTCTTGTTAAAATTATAAAACTAAAGAGATTGTTACCCAGGTATATGACGGTACCAAATAAAAGTTACTTGAAACTGCTATAATCATGTTGTTTGCCTTTATCTCAAACAGAAACTCAGGTAAAACCAATAAACGCACAGTGCTAAAATGACACGGATGAATGATGGTAACTGAAAGTAGTAAGATGGCTACAATTATGGCGTGAACAAACTGAATAACTACATTTGATTCAAAAATAAAGGGTGATGTATTTGCAAGTGATTGTTTTAACCAAGGTTTTAAATATCAGATATAAGAGAAATACCAGACGGCCAAAATTCATATTAGATTGTGGATATCAGAAAAATATCGGGGATATGTAGTAAATATTGAAGTACCGTATCGGATGATATGCATATAGAGTATATGTCCTAGCATGTAATCTTAACATACTCAATGAAATCTACAAAAACTAAAATGCAAAACTTATATAGGGAAAAGAACCTAACAGATTTTTGCTAGAAATTTTATAGGGCTAGAATTGCTAAAAAAAACATGAAAGACATTTCACATAACTATATTTTTGCAACAAGCCGTATAAAAGGATATATAGGTTAACATATCAGCCGATATATCGACCATGTCGAGGATACACTGCCCAAAACTGACAAAAAGCAATAAAGGATATTTAGACCACATTGTTTTGCAACATATCTTGTAAAAGGATATATCAGCTATATAGGGGATATTTAAAACAATGATTTTAATAGAATAAATACCTCAGCAAACTCAGTATCAGGAGGTCGTTCTTGAAACTGGACACTCGGCGCATGTCGAAGTTGGGAGAGATTGTCTAAAAGTTTTGCCCTTATATCCTCCAGAACTTGGCGTGTATTTTTGTTCTCCATGTTACTTGGTGCAACATGAAGTGTGTAATCTGGACCAAAATACTCATAATACTCATGTGGAGGCATTTTGTCTTCAACCTCAACACCAAGAGCAACTCCTGTCTGCTCAAATCAAAAGAAAAAGAAATACATCAACTCCACAGAAACAAAAGAAAGATAAAATGTAAAATTCAGGCAAATGCGGTAGTACTGCTCAGAAACCAAGCCAAACAGGGAATCAGTGAAAAAATGAAGAGAAGAATATTTGTATTTCTTTCTTTTATATAAGTATAAAGCTCAAAGGTTTGGTCGTTAAAACATAGGAACGACTAATTAGCAAATAGTATGTCCTTATTTAAGAATAGGTTCAACTTATCCTCTTAAGGAAAAATTACTTAGGACAATTATAAGAACCACAATGTTTTATGGATTAGAATGTTGGACGATTCAAAAAACATGTCAAAAAAATTGAGTCTAGTAGAAAAGTGAATGTTATGATGGGCGAGTCAATATAAACTAAGGAATAGGGATGAGTATATTCGTGTGAATTTGGAGGTTGCTCCTATTAAGTATAAAATGAGAGAGAATCATATGAGATATTCTGATCATGTGCAAAGTAGGCCATTAAATGCACCAATTAGGAGCAGTAATAAGATTATTATTAAGGGAGAAAGGACTAGAGGTAAGCCTAAGAAAACATGGTTAAAAAACCGTAAAAAAGGATGCGATAAAGATTAACTTAATGGAGGAGATAGCCCTTAACAGAACTGATGGGATAGTAGTATTCATGTAGCCAACCACAAGAAAGTTGATGATAACAGTGATCACAATAAGAACTAGACCTTTTAAGATTAAAAACAACATATCATATATGATGTTTTTTCTGAGAACAATGATCTTACCAGTCAAAATAATCTGCAAGGAACTCATTTGTCTTATGATTAAATAACAAGGTACACTACAGTAATCGAGATAAGGAACAGATTTGGTAGTCAGGTAGTACCTCATAGCACCAGCAACGAGCAACATTCCGGATTGTATATCCGCCTCCACCTAGTAGTAAAAGTGGTACATTAAAAGATCTCATATACTTCACACACTCTGCATGTCCTCTAATGGAAAGGTTAAAACAACCCAGCCGATCACCAGATAAAGAGTCTGCACCACATTGAAGGACCACAGCACCAGGCCTGAAAACTTCCATCACTTTACCCATGATAGGTTTAAATAGAGAATGATAGCTCTCGTCATCGATGCCATCATCTAGGGGAACATTCAGAGAGTAGTATTTTCCATTTCCGTGTCCAACGTCCCGAATATCTCCTGTCCCAGGAAAATAATCTCCAAATTTGTGAAATGAAACTGTCATTACTCTGTCAGTTGTGTAGAAGGCCTCCTCAACACCGTCTCCATGGTGGATATCAATGTCAACATATAGAACACGCTGCCAAAAGATAGAAAGATAAATGCATATTGTCTAATTTAATGGTGAGGAATAACAAAAGTATAAAAAGTCAGAATATACTGACATATTTCATTAGATTACTAAGTATTGGAAACAGAACAAGCAAGAACTTACAAATATAAATAGCAAAATATTAATTATGAAGTGCAATAAACTAGGTCAAGTTCACATATACACTGAAAAATAATCAAGATTAAAACACATCCTAAGTACAATAAAGTCTACCTTTGCCCAAATTCATTAAGAATGCAACAGATATATTAGTATGCTAATGCAGCAAAATGTTTTGAGCGTAATCCCTTTAACCAGGAAAGATACATTATAACATGAATATTTTTTATATTACAACAAGTAAGACTCCGCTTAATGGACGAAATTTCTTAATTGCACATTTTTATGGACAGCCAATCTAAGCCACTAAGATCACAATAAGCGGGATGGGATCATCGATTGTGATAGTTCAAGATGTGATTTTAGACTGCCCATTTAGAAGCCCCACTGTGAACACTTTTTTCATACAGTAAATTGCACAAAACCCCCCTCATCTACAACATGAGTAGCACTTATCATCCCTAAAGTCCTTTACTAGAACAAAGTCCCTTCGTGTTAACCCTCTAGTTAATGGTGTTAACTTTTCATTCAGATTAAATGCACGTGATATATATGTGACTTAATCAAACTTTTAAGTTCCCTAAACAACCCTGTCTCCTCAAGAAACAAACCACCAGTTTTTTTCTTCTCTTCTGTCCCTTCTCCAAGTGAAAAACCACCTGAGTTTTTTTTCCTCCTTCGCTCTTCGCACTAACAAACCCATCAGTCGCTGATCAAAGGACAAGCTTTTGGCACTCGTGAAATTTCTCATCACAGATCATTTTCTTCGTTAGAGATAAGGATGGCATAAGCCTGCGAGAAAGCTTTGAGCATACCTTAAATCTGCTAATATAAGGTGCAGTAAGTAAGGTTTTGAAATTCCTTTAGTCTTTAAACTCTTCCACTATTAAAATGCTTGTTGATTATGGTTTTATATTGAGATCCCCAAAATTTAACCCGAATTTTATTCTTTTGGCTTACTATGGCAAACTTGATTCTATCTGGGGTCTTGTACAATTGCGGATTTCATCCTGAAGTCAACTAACATATTCTAGCATGACATTAGTTCGCTTGTGCATAAATGACATTTCTTAACATATTTCAACATTTATCTCTGAAAATAGGGGTTTTTTTCATAGAAACCACCTTTAAACTAGGGCCAATCTGTAGAAACCACCTTTTCTTTTCAATTAATACACTTTGAGAAGAAATTCACATCTATTTATAGTCCATTTCTTTCTAAGTTTTGAAGCTCAATTATGTAATTGATAATGAAATTGGCTATGACCTTTTCAGTAGTAATTTGTCATTTTGAAGATACAGATGTTTATGATCATGCAAAGCCTTGGTTTTGGACCAATATAATAACTATTCAGTTCATTTGCAATTTTATGATGATACCAATGTTTATGATCATGCAAAGCTTGGATTTTGGACTAATACACTGGTTATGCAGTTCATCTACAATTTTATGATGATGCATCGTTTTGTACAAATTATATGCTGTCTCTTATAGTTTGCAAGATGATACAGATGTTCAATTGCAATTTTAACTCATGCTTCGGTTTTGTACAAATTCATTTTAAGATACAAATGTTAATGATGCAAGGTCTGATTTTGAACTACCATAATGACTGCATAGGTTGTCTAAAATTTTCAAATAAATTTATAGAATTGCCAGCTCAATAATGGACTCCTGCAAATACAAGTAATATAGACAAAAAGTTGCAAGTTTTCAGTAGTTGAATAAAGAGGGAAATTTAATAGAGAAGGAACGATGATGCAATGAGGACTGGGCTGTTCAGGAGTTGAATAGCGAGGGAATAAAGCTCAATTTTGTTTGGAAAAAAGAGAGGGAAGGCTGGAAGAAGAGGGGTCTGTTGATGTCTCTATTATTAATTAGAAAGCATGGTTAATTAGGGAAATTAACTTTGATCAAACCACATGCATATCACATGCAGTTAAGCTGGATAGAAAAGTTAACACCAGTGAGCAGACGGTTAACTCCTAAGGGGCTTTATGCTAGTAGATGACTTTAGAGGTGATAAGTGCTTACTTATAACATAAATGAAAAAGAAGGGGGGGGGGGGGGGG